TCAGGAGTGACCAGAGGGTCCGTCTCTGGATGGCGCGGTTCGGGAGTGACCAGAGGGTCCGTCTCCGGATGGAGTGGTGCAGGGATCTGCACGCTCATTGGCGCCAGCTGCCCCACAGCAGGCAGAGGGCATTCCTGCAGGCACCCATCACCCATTCCAGGGCGAGGCTAGGAGCAGAGGCTGAAAGACAGGGAAGCACGTCTTCCAGGCGGAGAAGGAAATGTGCTAGTTACACTGGAGGACAGCGAAGAGGGTGATAAGGCAAAGGCCTGTCTTTGAAATGTGTTGCGAGAGAGTTCCCGGCATGTCTTGCAGCACTTGAAGGCTGTCAGAGTGGTGTTGGAGCTTGACCTTTGCAGCACTGTTTATTTATGGATTTACCGCGACACTTCACAGCCGCCGCCGCTGCGGAGGAAGAGTGAGGTTTCTTAATGCTTGGCGACGTTTGCTTCTTCTGCTCGGAACGGAGGAGGAAGAGGAGGATTGGCCTGCCCTGCTCTGCCACACATGGTATTAACTCCAGCTGACGGCTGGCTGGAGGCTCTCTAGCCCTGCAGGACGAGCGAGGCCCCGCTGCTCGTTTCGGCCTGGCTGTGTTTGTGCCTGCTCCCTTTTGAGCTTGGTGTTGTTCTGCGTGCGCACCACCCAGCTGGCTTCCACGTGTTGCCCATCACACGGAGGTCATAGACAATGACCGGCGGTAAGCCAGCGGTGAGTAATGGGCTGCCCCGGCACCCCCTGACTTGGGGGCGCCCTAATCTCTGCGGGCACCAGCACCATGAGAGTGCATTTCTCTCACTCCTTAGAGATCGGAGAAGAGTGTTTAGTCTGGGACTGCGGGCTCCAGTTACTCTCCAGGAGTTCTCAGGAATGCTCAACCTGCTTTTAAACCTCCTTTTAAACGGAAATGAAACCCACCCGACTCATGGGCCCCAGGGCAGCCAGTGTGAGGTGCCCTCTGGTCTGGGTTTCTGTGAGCTCATTCAAAACACACATGATGCTGGCGGGCGGCCAGGGGACCCCGAGATTTCCCCGCAGCTCGTTCTGCGGCCCAACTACCTGACTGACCATGCGGCCGTGTGTTTTCAATGAAGAGTGGAGGGGCTGGTGTCCGAGTGGCACGGAGGAGCTGCCTGGTCCTTTGTACCCTGTCTGAGCTGAGGGAGCACAGCAGCTCTGCGTTTTCATCACCACGCGCTTCTCTCAGCCCGAGTCGTGCTACACGACTCATGGTGAATGGTTTTGCAGTCGATTCCTTGTCAAGCTGAAAACAATTAGGAGTGCAATAAAGTGTCTTTGGGGACAACAGTACCCCAGACGTCCTCTGGCTCCGAGCTCCTCTGCTTTCCTGCTCTGTCCTTGTGTTCTCAGGCTGGAGGCTTTGGAAGGCTTCGTGTTGTGAAACGTGTGGGGTCTGCTGGCTTTCAGAGCAGCTGAGCTCTTTATTACTGAAACACAAAACGTTCTCCGTCAGATCCCATATTCACTCGGCTACGTCTTCATCTGCTCGGGGCTTGAAGACATCTGTGTGTTAGACCTTTGGGCTTGTGGGATTGGAGGGCTGGTGGAGGCCCCTCACCGACTCCAGTTGCATCACTGGCGGTGTCTCCACCGGCCGGCGGGAAACGACATCGTCATGATCTTGCTCTGCGTTCACGCCCCTCCAGAGCCCGCGTGGCTGGTTCTGTATCGCTGACTGCGCGGTACTTCACATGGGTGACGTCCCCAACGACAGCATGGTGAGCATCATTAATTCTCCAAGGCTAGGCGCTGGTCGCTTGGCCTTCTTTGGGACGCAGGTGTTCCCGAGGTGCCAGCTGTGTCAGAGACGCCCCTGGCCCTGTGCTTCAGGGAGCTTTCCTGCAGGGTGCTCCTTTAAAACGAGCCTCTGGGTGCAGGAGCGTGGGAGGATTCC